CCCCCCCCCCAAAGGCCCCACGAATTCCATCACATTAGGTTTTCAACATATTTGAGGAGAACACAAATATTCAGACCAGAGCAATGCCACTCTGCCTAGGAAGCTCCAGGTTTATATCTGTTATCCTGGCATAATTATTCACTGTGCCCCCTTTTACTTCAAAAGTGTCATGGTTTGGACAATAAATTATGGTCACCTTTACTGATACGACTTTGTTTACCTTTCTGGCTTCATCTGGTGCCTTTCCTGCCATCCACTCAATCCTAAGGCCCTGCTGAATTTCTCTCAGCTGTTCTGACCTGCCAAGCTTCCTCCTACCCCTCGTTTCTCACACACTGTTCACTCTGCCTATTTTCTTCTCTCCTCACTTGGTCTGTTCATTTTGTGTAGTAGGGAAAATAGTGTAGCGAACTATTTTTCAAACTGTGGATTACGACCCATTAATGGATTGTAAAATCAATTTTGTGGGTTGCATCCATTATTTTTTAAAAAAGTAAAACTATCTAGAATAAAATAGGTCAGAGTGCATTGCCAATAACTATTGTTTGTAAAACACTGTTTCAGGTGCGTGTGTGTGCGCGCACTGGGTCATGGCATAAAAAGCATCTCTGGATCACAGTCAAAAGGTTTGAAACACATCAGCATAGGCTCTGGGATCAGACTATTTTGATCTAAATCCTGACTTAGCCACTTCCTAGCTCTGTGACCTTGGATAAGTTATTTAAACTGTGTGGATTTTCCTCATTTATCTTATGAGATTGTTACAAAGATTAAATGAATTAAAGTGCTTAAAACTATACCCAGCACACACAACACATGTTGACCATTTATCATTACCTATCCTTCAGGTTCTAGTTTGAACACCACCTTCTCCAGAAAGCCTCCCTTACCATGTAAAGTCAGGGTTAGGTGCCTTCCTGCACCCTCCCCCCTCCTTACACTTGTCTGATTAGACCTGGTCAGGTTTGATTAGACCACTAGGCAGGTATCTTGTTCATCACTGGATATCTAGCGGTTAGCACAGTACCTGCCACACAGTAGGCAGCAGTAAATTTTTGCAGAATGAGTGACTTAATCACTCTTGGCAACAGATACACAGCCATTTGTTTTACGCAACTAAAGTCATCTTGGGACTTACACACCTGAGAAGTCACATCATTTTGATAAAGAACCTGTCATTTTAGCTTAGATTAAGCTTGATTCTCTTAATCTGAACTGTCAGAAGGGTTATATGACTTTTTTAATATACACTCGTTAGTAATGTAGTAAAAGATTTATGTTGGCTGGCTTCTTGACCAAAAATTCATAAATAATTTAAAAATCAGCATCTCTTAATTTTCCTTTTAATCGTCATAATGATGGGAAAAATGGGCACTGTGTGACAAATAAAAAGTGGCATCTTTATTTGAGGGGGCAGTAAAAATAGTATTTTATTCTACTC